TGTCCTCTTTCAGGCTTGCCGGGAGCTGAAGAGCTCAGGATGAAACAACGCAGAGAAGCATTTCTCATTTAAGGAATCAAAAAAAAAAAGAAAATGTAAAATAAAACAATACAATCTTGGCTGTCACAGATGCTTAAATTGACTATTTTCCCTTTCGCCCAGTCTCTTTGTTTGGTTTGGGTTTATTATTTTTTTTAAGATTTATTATTTAGATAATATTTTCTAACATATTTTCACTAATCACACAGTAATTATTTATTCACACAAAAAGGATATCAGTTGGAAATCAAGGCTACGAGGTGAAATTAGATCCATAAGGTTTCAAAAGAATGCAGTGTATCAAGTCTTCATTAGGTGCCAAAAAAGAGGGCAAAACACTCATTTTATCTGTTCTAGGTGACATTTAGTCAATGGAATCACAATCAAACATTGTGCACAATGAGATCGTGAGAGCTAAGGAATAAAAATATTCAGTCTGGATAACATGCAAATCAAAGATCTGAGATGGAAATGTTCTTTCTAAAACTACATTTTTAAAGGAGGGTATTTCTGGTAGAGTCTTGGAGCCACAAGAAAGAAAGCTACCTCTTCAGGGTGACATGTTGACTAAAGAGAGCAAAGCAGTTTTTGTCTTTCCTCTGATAAGAGAGGGAGCCGGTGTAGAGCCTGGTCAAGGACTGGACATGGTCCCATTTTATGAGGTATCAGGTTCTTTGACAAGCTCGAAGTATATGGGGATTTTCTGCCTCAAAGATAATGCTATGTTATGGGCTATTGTGGTCTCATCTCTTTGGTTATCATTGAAATCCTAAAAGAATGAGGCACTAAAATACAAAAATTACAATCTAAACCCTTAAAGCTTCAAAAATGCTCACGTTTGAAAAAAAAATTCATACTTAGGAATATAATTTTTCTATAACTGGGAAAATGATGACTATTGTTTTTCTGAGGTCAGTTCTCTCATCAGAAATAAATGACGGGTCTTCTGATCTTCCAGGATATCAACTGTCAAAGCAAAACTGAATACAGAAAAATCTAAATTAACTGAGGAAAAGGGTCATACTGAATATTTAATGTAAGTTATCCTCCCTACCACCAAACCTTTACCAAAATTTCTAAGGAGTATCCACTTGAAGAGATGTACTTCAATTCCTTTTCATGCTGATTTCTAATATAACTGAAGTCGAAGGAATTGAAGAGAAATGGAAAAAAAAAA